CAAAGTACAGCCAGTTTATCACACTCCCCAGTTAAGAGCTCCCACCCAGACTCTCCCAAAGCAGATGCTGCTCAACCTCTGGTTGAAAGCACAAAAGGCAAAGATCCTGGGTTGAGAGAAGAACAATACACTGGAAACAGCAATGATATCATAAAAGGAACAGAAACAGCAACAATACTGATAAGAAGAGTGTACAAAGGGAGGGGGATTTACATGCCAAATGCTCACTGAGCCTGAGACAATGGAACTATGGTTCCAGCCTCCACGCTTAAGGAATTTTTGCCCTCAGAAGCAAGACAGAAAGTTCCTTTTCCACACACCTGGAAATGATGTGAGGTGGTATCATCTTGGCCATGACCTCTCCCACTGATCTGCACTGGAACCAGAACAGCCTGTCTGGCCTCAGAGAAAGATCTTAGAGAGATGCAGTATGGAAGAAAGGTCCAGAGGGGTAACGAGATCTCTGCCCTTGGAGAACCTTCTCTTACTGCCTCCTCTTCATCAGGGCCATATTTTCAGACATGTCTCAGGACCCACCCAGACCCAAGGGTAGACTTTTATCCCCCCAAATGATGCCTGTGGAAATGTAAAGATGTGAATCCCCTCATCAACACTGAAAAATGACACCCGTCCCCCTTCATAATCCAGAGACACCCTGATCCGTCTGGGAGCCTGGATTTCAGGAAATGAAGTAGGATGAGTGGAGGTGAAAGCTTTCAAGCATTGTCCCTGTTTCCCCACTGCCCAGAGGCCTTTCTCTGGTTCAAACCTAAAACAACCCTTCCTTTTCCCATCTTCTCTAGAGACCCCCACAGCCCATGTTCCTGTATCCTCCTCCACCTCCACCTCCCAGTAGTGTCTCCCAGAGGTGAAGCCGTCACGGCCCAGAACGCAGCGCCACACATCAAATCTGTTGGGGGTGTCAGGGATGTCCTCTCGTGGGTCACCTCGTGTCACACTTTTGCCATTGTCAGACACAACAAGCTCACAGTGGGCTGTGTCTGGATCCAGAACCACGTTCCCTGCAGGAGAGATGGAATCAGCACATCAGGGCAGAGCTCACCCCAGGACAGATCTTTGCTGGGGCTGCCCAAGGAAGAGGCAGGGTG